ACTTTTGTTCTTTTGAAGGGGGATAAGCTGATAATCCTTGCTGATTCCACATCATTACACACCAGATTAGCCGCAAAATGGGGTTAGAGATCCTTTTCAAGCCTGGACACTGGATGAAAAATATGCTGTCAAACTGTTTGCTACTGTCTGAGGCGTCAAGCCTATGGTGTCATTAACTGCTGTGGTGTGGGGCATGGTTTTTTTTCACACTCTTCATTCATTGCATAATGCATACTGTGTACTGGTATTTTTTTTATACATGTACAAGTGTATAGTTCTTGTACCTGTGCTGCATTATGTATGTGTTTGTACTGGTAGAGAAAGCCAAGAGTGCTACATGTATGTGTCCTTGAGGGAGTTAAAAAACATGCCCAGGCTGCAACAGTTGATAAATATACATGGTAACTGTCAATAAATTATGAAGCGTGAAAAACGGCCATGAAAAAGTAATGTTCTCGTTGTGGACTTCGATTTGTGTGTGTGTGTTCTCATGGGTTACATGTACACTGTCCATGCACTTTAATAGCCCACTTATGGTCTGAAAAGGGGTTTGAAAAAATATTTCTCAGTTTATTTGAAGAATAACCTTATGGTATGGTACATGTACATCCCTTTCTGTGAACCCTTTGGTAAGGTAGTGATTAATTTGGAGAAATTTATATGGCCCAGTTTCATTTCTGCACGAGCAAGAAAAAATACCAAGTAATATTTTATTGTGGTGACAGTGGTGTACTGTACCTACCCTGGTATGTACGTATGATGTTTATAAGAGTGTCTATGTGCAAATATTTATGAGGTGATTAACCAACCATTCCTGCTACCATAATTCGTCAAATGGTAATAGGTGATGGGTCATTTCATTGGTTACACCACAAAATGCAGGGATGACAGTTTTCTGGCAATAGCATGATTTCAGGCTTCTTCTTGTAAAATGCCGAGCTACATAATTTCAGGCCCTGACTACATATACATGAGCATGTTGCATGTACATGTAGGATTTTCTGGCCTTGATTATTTTAGGCTCTGGGCACGAATCTGGCCAGCATCCCTGAAATGGCACAGGTGTATATCATGTTCCGTTATTTGCCATATTACAAGCTGATGTAGTGTGCGCTCAGAATCTACATGTATGCACATTGGTACATGTGGGTTACTTTGTGGTTGGCCAAACTACCTGTGCTCTTTCTCTAAGAGTTTTCAGAAGATGACTGGTAAAATTTGAAAAAAAAATGAACGAATGAGCCATATTTGCCAGTATGGACTGTCGCAGCTCTTTGTAAATCTTAAGGAACAACTGGCGTACTTTACTATGTACATGGACTACATGTATGCATGTGTACATGTACATGTTGTTGGAGTAATTAGTCGTAAAAATACCCTACTACATGTATACATGTCCATGCAGTGGCAAAGCCACAAGGGGGCCTGAGGGGCACATACTCCCCCCCCCACAAATTCTCAGCGGTCCCCCCCCCACTTAAAAAACGGACGAATGGATATTGAACAAGGCTAACATAAATTTTCCCCCAAAAAAACCACACCACTGAAAGCTGGTGCCCCCCCCATAAGATGCTGGTGGCCCCTTTGTGCTCCCTCCCCCACTAGTAAAATCCAAGCTACGTGTAGTTTGTACACGTACGCCACAGTATTCATGTACCTGTAAGGTAGATATGGACCTGTGTACTGTACATATACCGATATGCATTCTGATGTACATGTACAGGTACATACATGTATGTACGTCGAACTGCCAAATAGGGAGTTTAATTTAACTTTAGTAGGATTCTCACTGCTTAGAACCTCCCTTAGTTGAACACGTTCATGTACATTGGTTCCTTAACAGGGAGTACATTAGTTCACGGTGTGGATTCCTGTTACAGCAGTCCTATGAGAGCTACCGGTACCACAACATTTAAATTTCATACTTCCGCGAATCGCATTTCCGCTGATCAGTACTGTCATTGATTATTCTGGTTGTTGTGTTTGCTTTGTGCCGGTTCTTATGGATTGGCTGTTATGGATCCGAGGGGCAAGCCAGCCAGCAATCTTCAGAGTTCAAGAATTTACATGAGGACGGGGCTTGTTTGTATTGTTGCACTAAAAGTGTCTTGGCTGCCACATTTGCATCTCGCAGTCTGTGTTTTTTTTGTAATTTGATCAGTGAGAATGTATGTGTTTTGCTGGTGAAATTGCGGCAGTGCAATGATCTCATCAAGAGGTTGCTAAGATGTGGATGCACCTGTACATGTATGTAAAATCAATCAATTATAGTCTGTCAAGGATGCCTATAGTAACAACTGGGTTTTTTTTCTGTTTGTCATATTTGTGTGCATGTATAGCCATTCCATTACTCAAGCTTGTACTCTTACCAATTTCATCTCGCAGATTTTTCCGTTCTGGTAGAAAATGGCCATTCATAGGAATACTTTCACCGACTTTATTGTTTGATTTGATGCAGTGTTACAAGCACCGCTGCATACCAATCCAGCCGTGTTTGAAAAGATGCCAGTAGCATTCACTGGGGACAAAGGAAATTACGCAACACCTCACAATTCTGGGCTCTCTTTACAGGGCGGCAGGCCTGGCTGAAATACTCAGGAGTCAATGAAGGTTGCCTGTCAGCTTAGAGTAGCCACCAAACAATCATTTGTGTGGGTGTAAATATCCATTAAATGAAAGGATGAATATGAAGAATTTTGAGAACTAAAACTCTTGAAAATCTCCTGTATGTGTGCACTGCATGTTTAAAAGCACCTGGCAGCAAGTAATTAAGATGCTTCATGTACAGGTACACCCAGTTTATTGTGAACTCTCTTCTCAGCCATTTGCCAGTCAAATTGTAATAAAATCTGACAGTGCACATACCGGTACCTGTACATGTAAACATAACGATTTGAATTCCCCAGACTACAGATGCTGCTGTTATACCTCGCATATGCAGCAAGGTATGAGACGGAGAGAACCCCCCGTGCTTTGTGTTGGTCATTGTCTCGCAGGAATCTGGGGAATTCCTTTCAGACATCTTGGGGGGATGTGTTAAGTAACTATAGTCTGGAATGTGCATAGGGATTGGACATGTTGGGGGGGGGTTACCCCTCGGTCTCATTTCTTGCTGGGTATAATACCTCGTGATTTGGGGCAAGCTTTCGAATAGCGACCACCATCCCTGGAATGGACTGGTTCCTTTGAGCCCTTCTTATCCATTGAGAACAGTGTATTGTTGCAAGGCGTCTCTTACATGTATGTAACTAAGCAAAAGCTTGCCCCGAATCACAAGGTATAGCAACAGTGGTTTTAGTGAGGAGAATTCAAGTTGTTATGTTCACATGAATTTAAAGAACTCAGTGTACCAGATTTGGGTCAAAGTTAACTCGCAAAAGGCTTATTAAGGCCAGTTCACACAATGTGCTTACACGTACATGTACCGTTTGTATAACGTAGGGCGGAAGTGAACACAAATGCAAAATTAGGACATTAGATCAAATAGTCATACTAAGAATTTACAAAAGTTGAACAAATGATTTGTGAAATCAAATTTGTTTCACTTCTGCATTCGCTTGAGGTCCATGAACCTGCCTTTACGGGTACCTCTTCCAACACAACAGACCACCAGGGTGCATCTTTGTCCCCACATTGTTTACAACTTCAGCCCTCGGAGGCCCAACTCTCCCCCTTCTTTTTTTTTTCACCCTCCCTCTTCCCTCAAATCCCCGTACATCATGGCGCCTGCCCGTGTTTAGCCCAAGCTTCTTTTATCACCCCATCCTTTTAAGGCTCACTCACCCGATCCTATGTCCCACCCCCGTCCCCTCCCCTTCATGTCCCCATGCGCCATGGACACGGTCCACAATTTGCAGAACTACACCAAACTTCTCACCTCATGGATTCTAGTCATATCCTCTTGATGAGGCCAAATTGTCTGGGTGGGATGAATAAGTTACCTGTCCCAGTCTCCTCAGCTTTCCCTCCTCCCCGTATCAGATGACTTGCGCCTCTCTGAAGACATGCACTGATGTGGCCAAACAGAAAAAGAAATTTGTTTATTGAAGCAGCATGCTCTTGGCACTGCTGCCCATTTTCTTGCTGTCATTCTGCCCATGGATGGTTGATCCGAATAACATGATAAGATGACACTGCTTACCACATGGGATGGTGATTTTCTCACCGGTACACCCCAATTTTGTCAGATGACAGTGTTAGATTTACACATGGACTGGCTTGCTGAGAGCCTTTTGAGATTAATCATTCAGTTTTATTCAGTTTCAATGTTAACCATGTACATGTATTGACGTAGGTAATACAAAACACATTATAATTACATGTATCATTTTTTGCCAGTACTTGTGAGAAACGGCAAAATGTTTCCCAGCCACCAACAGGCATGAAAATGTTTTTCCACTTGTGTGAAAATGTTTTCCCACTTGTGTAAAAAGGTGTGAAAATGGTTTCCCACTTGTGTGCAAAGGTATGAACATGATTTTTTGTGAGGTGGAAAACTGTTTTCACATGTGAAGGGAAAAGAATTCCCCGGTAATCTTGTGGGAAGAGAAAGGTTTTAGTTGCATTACTGGTCACATGTACAATGTCCATTTGTACATGTGGACACATTGGACTTTCACTTGGAAACAGTAACCACATATAGGTTTGTACTGTATGCGCACGTACATTAATTGTATTGTAAAAAAAAATGTAAATTAAAATGTACATGTAGCCCATCTTTGATTTCATCACTCAGAATAATGATGATCTTTGGCTCAAAAATTGATTGAAGTTGTCAGAAATTTTCTCAGATCAAACAACAAAGCATGCACCTGTTTGGTACATGTAACATGTACTGTACGTAGCTGCATTCACATGCCCCCCTTTGCCAATTCTTACTCATCTGCCATCAGCTTTTTCTCAAAGTCGGCAGCCTTCCAAAGACATTTAGAAATCATTTTTTCATATTCCCAAAGTTTGAAAGCTGGCCGCTGGATCCAAATTTGTCTAAAATCTTGCAGGAATACTGCAGTTGTACGCGTATGCTCTATCCACATTCTTGAGGAGTCAGCACCCCGGATCTGCATCCGTAGAGGATGACGAGAACAGACAGCTTTCCAGGAAGTACACAAGTAAGAATACTCTCAAGTTATCAGGGATAAGCAAAAGTCCGTAGGCTGTCTCGGCCGGCAGAAGTTGGTGGCCAATTAGTAGTCCGGAACTTCTGTCAGAAAGCTTGGCGGAGTCCGTTTAAATTTCATGATGTGTGTGCTGTCGACACCCCTCGGCATACCTGTAGGTGTGTGTACATGTACATCGTCTGGACCTGATGGGGGAAGCAGACATTTTGCATTGATTTCATGAGGCCCCATGCATGTTGAAGACAGAGGTTGATATAAGCATTTGGCATTAATGTATTTACTTATATTAAGAGGTGGCAAGCCTCTAGCTATGAACACTGTGCTAATACTGTACGTGAAATGGCACATGTACGTTTACTTACCGTACTTGCAGTGCCAATATAAAGAAGTCAAGAGGAAACAATTTTTGCAGAAAATATTGTGCACCTGGGTTAATAGCTACCGGTAGGTGCGTGTACTATTTTGTAAACCATATTGTACATCGCATGCTGCTGAAACTTACTGGTACATGAATTCAATAAAACTCGGTGATAGTGCTTGCACTCAGGCTTCTACAAATGCACCGACTTTTTTTCAAACATTTGTTCTCGTGGAAATGTACTGGACTTACTACACTGTTGAGAGGGAAATCTGTTGTCGTTAGTTGAGAGAATAAAAGAGGGTGGGAAAGGCTTCAAAAACTGCGAAGGTTAAACATCCCCCCTTGACAGTGATGTAGTCGAGTACTTTTTGAGAACCAAGTTCTCTACCAAATATTTAACTAGTTAGAAGGGAACAGAGCTGAAGTACATCGGCATTTGATGATACATGCAGAAAGGTAAGATTACAAAGCAACATAATGACTTCAGACCATCACTGTTTGATTAAAATTAACTTTTTAGGACAAAAGTACTCGGGAAGTACTCGGCCGAGTACTTTTCTCCTC